AGCAAGGTGGAAATGCAGACTCACAAATATATATCACTGTAGAGAAGGCTATTTGGACTCCACACAGTCTTGCTTTGATTTGTCAACATAAAATGATTATATGTTCAATGATAATGATGATATTTTATATACTCCTTGAAAAAAGTAAAAATGGAGCAGACCTGAATGAAAAGGGGCTGCCAGATTGGATCAGTTTATACTTACACTTCAAACTTCTGGACAAAAGGTATATTATGTTGGGAGAGAGGCTTTCAGTTTGTGTCAACAGAAAAGAAGAAAAGGCTTTGGGGATCCAATCCATACTGTTAAGGATCAGATTTGATAGAGGGAGGCCTCTAGAAGATCATGGCTACAGACAGGAGGAAAAGAAAAATCGAAAGGCCCAAAATGTCATAACAGATGTGTCATAACACCCCCCTATTGAAACTACTCTGAAACTGACTGGGACGTGTATATGTCTCCAGCAAGAACTTCAGCTGTACATAGCCAATGGATTGTGTTCCTCAAAGTCCCCGTAGTTCTCAAGACTCATCATGCTATCCTTTCATATGGCATAGATAAAAATTTATATTGCAGTTTTGGTTACAATACAAACTAGCTCAAGAAAGAGCAGGTTTTTCACCTGCTCAAACAAAGAACAAAAATTTGATTTTTATCTGATCTATGTACATTTCATATCCCCTACGTTGTTATTACAAAAATGCGTGTTACATTTAATAGTTCATATATTTTAAGAACAAAAGGACCAAATGCCAATAGCTTGGAATGGGATCTAATGAGGTTCATCCTGGAAGATGCTGAGACTCTGACATCCTTGTTCCACCAACTTTGTCCAGCCTGACAGACTGATTCATCTAGAACTTTATAAATATCTAAACCTTCACAGCATCCAAAGAGTAGACAAGAAATGTCACAGCTGGCTTTCTTAAGACTTAACCATTTTTCCAATTTTCTTGGGCCCCCAAAGAGAAATCTTATGCCCCAAATTAGCAGGAAGCAATTTCAAAAAGACCATCATCCGAGTCCCTTAGGTTGAAGTGGATAGTTTTGGTCATTTTATGAGTTATGGATATATTGTCATTTAAAGGGATAGTTACAAAATAGTTATGGTCTTGGAAAGGTAGGAAACAATAAGGGGCTTAGACCCAAGGACATCTCTCCTTTCCTCTTCTCTAACCTTTTTTCTTAGATAAAAGAAAGAAGGTTGAGAAGAAAAGGGGGGTATAGAGATATCATATAGGAAGAATAGTATAAAAGGGTAGATTATGAATCTACTCTTCAATTTAGCTATTACTATTTTCAAATGTCATTTTTGTTTACATTAATATGGATTGTTGTATATTGATACAGGTTTAAGGTTTTCATTGGTATAAATCTTTGTATTTTGATACAAAGCTTAAGGTTGATTTTGGTACTTCATAACTTATATATGTTTCAACACTTGTATAGCTATTGTGCCCGTGCAACTCATTTAAAAATATAAGGTTTAGTCCTAGTCCTTTTAACAGCTGCTATTGTAAACTGTTAGGAATGGTTAAGAAATGCAATGTAATAGTCACACAGTCAAACTCATGGTCATATCAGATACTAGTCTACAGCATCACATGGTTGAGCAGATAATAAATATCTAGAAACAAGCAACATTTGTTTGTTCAGATATACTATGAATAGATAGATGGTCTTCAGAAACCTCAGAGATTCGGATTATGGCATTTAAAGATGTTTTTACTAATGTAAGGCCTTCTTGACATTGAGACATGTCAGCTCCTGGCAGCACCCCATTTGACTTCAGAAAAAAAAAAAAAAAGGTTGAGCATTGAAGAATCTCCATTAGGAGATGATTTCTAATGTAGCAAGCTGCCACTTGGCAAAGAAAATGCCTTATTCCCTCTGCAGACAGAATGCTGTCCAAAATGGGCAAATAAACACAGGCAAAGTGTACTGCTGAACTCTGCCAAGACAGAGTAAGCAAATACTTCATATTTCCTGCTTCATAAAAATGTCTGTCAGATACACTAGGCCAGTAGGCTAAAGATGGATACACCAGTCTTACAGAGACAGTTCTGGGCAATTCTGATCAGGAAGCCATTTCTCTGTCTTTTCTATAGCCTTGGAAGCTGCTTGTCTGTATGTTCTACTTACTCAGGTACTATTGATTCCTTCTCGGGTCTCTGATGGGGTTGAAAATCAGATAGATAGTCTTACATTTAAACTTTAATTATAAGTGGTCTAAGAAAATATTTTGGAGTCTTAAGTTATTTTAAGGATGATAAAGGTTAGAGGGTCTAGAGGGTGTTTTATGAAGGTTGGAGGAAATTATAAATGGTGTTTTAAGGATGGCAATGATAAGTTATAAAAGAGAATGTAAATGCTTAAGATGATAATGAGAAAATGATTTATGTACAGATCTCTAAACTAACCAAGACAGCATAGATAGAATACTTTCTTCTAAGTTGTGAAATATAAGTAGACTGGACTTTTGTGAATATAAATATTACACCATAGATTTTTATAATTATGTCACAATTGTTCCTACTGTATGTTGTTTATTATTGTAAGAGAAAAAGGTCTTTTTATTTTTATTTTTTGGTTTGGTTTTTTCCGAGACAGGGTTTCTCTGTGTAGCCCTGGCTGTCCTGGAACTCACTCTGTAGACCAGGCTAGCCTCAAACTCAGAAATCCGCCTGCCTCTGCCTCCCAAGTGCTGGGATTAAAGGCACAACCACAGCCCAGCCAAAAAAGGTCTTTTTATTTAGACAAAAAGAGGGAAATGTAGGAGGTTGATCTGGTATCACTATGTATTCGAATGCTAACTTCTGGCCCATGAGATCTGGTTGCATTCTGTATAAACCCCACCCCCACAGTTACCTGGCAACAGCCAGGTAGGCCTGGCCTACTATAAAAGGGGCTACTTGCCCCCTTCTCCTCTTGCTCTCTTGTTCTTGCTCTTGTGCTCTCTTGATCCCCCTGTCCCCCTTGCCTCTCCTCCTTCACTTCCCCCTCTCTCCACATGCTCATGGCCGGCCTTTACTTCTCTACTCTCTTCCTCACTCTCAGCCTCTACTACCCTCTTAACTCTCCTCCTCATACCCTGAATAAACTCTATTCTATACTATACTGCTGTATGACTGGTCCCTTAGGGGAAGAGATGCCTCGACATATACCCCCTGAGACATCCCCTTCCCCCATACCTCAACACACACCCATAGAACATATCTCATATCTCTTTATCTTTATATAAACATATCACCCCTGATGAGGAGATCCTCACATACACCAAATAATGTAAACCTTGCTATGCGCAAGTTATCCCTGATGGGTCAGTAAAGATGCCTACAGCCTGGGCTGGGGAGAAGAGAGTGAGATGTAATCAAGGTTCCCGGGCTTGAGATCTGAGGCAGGACACAGTAGGAAATGGGGAAGATGGGGTGGAGGAGGAAGAGGAGGAGGAGAAGGAGGAGAAAAAGGAGGGGGGGAAGAAGAAGAAGAAGAAGAAGGAGAAGAAAGCAGCAGCGGCAGCAATTGAGAATGTTCCTGAGACACAACGGCAGAGACCATATACTCAACTAAAAGCCAACTTGTATCATCTGTCTCCTGCTCTATCCTCTCTTTGACAGAGGAAAGACAGCTGTCACACTCAGGAGATAAAAACCTCCATTACTAGCAGACTAAAGGTTTCAGTCCTCACTTGGGGCTCACACAGGGACAAATTAGGTTCCCACAGAGATTTTAGGATCAAGCAAGTCCTGCTTCAAATTCTCGCCGTCACTGAAGCCACTGTTTGATAGGAGATCGGACATTGTAATCCCGCAGTTTGTTTTATCAGCTATTAAATTGAGAACATTTTAGTCTTACACTCAGATTTCTCCTGAGAATGGAGCATAAAGCAAGCTATGCTGTGATTTGCACCCAACAGTCGAGCTCCTTTTTGTGCGTTCCCTTTCTCAGAGAAGATAAATGGTGTCCTGAGGATAATACTTGATAATCCTGTCATCTGGCCCCTGGACAGTGTTAACATATGTGTATCATTCCCTTTTCCTCACACATGTGCACGTGTGAAGTTGGATTAAAAACTGAATAGAAGGAAGTAGTTCTAGAGATTTTTCTCATTGAAAATTGTAAATAAATTTGGAAATAAAATCACATTCATTAATATTTCACTAAGTCTTGCTTAAGCAAATCTTTGACAGTGTATCTAAATCAAACCTTGCCTTTCAGCTCTTGCCACTCCCCTCTTCTGCTCCACAACAAGTTAGAGTTGTAAAACCTGAAGTTGTGTGAGAATTCGGAGTGGTAGTGAGAAAACTCAAGAAAACAGACAAGAGTCCTGTGATGTCAGCTTTTTGTTTTGTTTTGTTTTTTTGGTTTTTGGTTTGGTTTGGTTTTTCGAGACAGGGTTTCCCTGGCTGTCCTGGAACTCACTCTGTAGACCAGGCTAGCCTCGAACTCTCGAACTAAGAAATCCGCCTGCCTCTGCCTCCCAAGTGCTGGGATTAAAGGCGTGCGCCACTACCGCCTGGCGTCAGTTTCTTTAGAACTTGGAATTGTGTTTGTGCTCCTCCCAGGTTTAGTGGATAGGATTGAATTTACTTCAGATTATTTATTACAACTCTTTATTGCCCCTATGGAAAAATATGTTTTTACCATGTGTGGCTTGTCTTGTAATTGTACATTAGCATGACTCTTCTCAACCCTGAGAATATTGTCTGACTATCTGATGCTATGAACAAAGTTGGCTGTTGCATGAAACTTTAGTCCTCCTTGTTTATCAGCCACTTTCTCCTAGGTCCCAATGCCACGAGAGTGGTAACATTACTTGAGCATAGTTTCTGTGGCAAGAATGCCAAAGGGCTGTTCACACTGGAGTCCTTCCTCAAAGAACTGTCCCTTGACTCACTGGTACTTTACTGTTTCATTCAATTTCTCAACAGTCTTTGTTCTTCATGCCCAAGAAGTAGGACTGATACTCTTTTGGCTAATGGGTTTCCCTTCTTCCACAGATTCATCTGAAAACTACATTAAGACAAAGACATTTGAGGGCTTCTGTGCATTACATCTTGCTGTGAGTCAAGGACATTGGAAAATCACACAGATTCTTTTGGAAGCTGGAGCAGATCCTAATGCGACCACTTTAGAAGAGACCACACCATTGTTTTTAGGTGATGTATACTATTTTTGGTACAGATGTACTTTAAAAATGTTTTTTGTTAGAGAAACTTACAGGATGTTTCTTCCTTTGGTTTTTGAAACTGAAAAGCTATTTTTAAAGATTCTTTTCTGTTTTTCTACCTTTGGGTGTAGTAGTATTTGGGACTCAAAATTTTTGTTTTGTTTTGTTTTGTTTTGTTTTTCGAGACAGGGTTTCTCTGTATAGCCCTGGGTGTCCTGGAACTCACTCTGTAGACCACGCTGGCCTCGAACTCAGAAATCCACCTGCCTGTGCTGGGATTAAAGGCATGTGCCACCATCGCCCGGCCGAAAATGTTTATTCAAAGCTGCAAAACTCATTGTGAATTGAAACTGCCCTCTTGCCCAAGGCAGTGCTGAAGACCAATGATGTTTTACTGGAGCAGCCACTGCAAAGTTATCTACAAGGTCTTGTGTGCTTTTTATTAGTATTAAAGGATTAAGGTTCCATGGAAGGAATCATTATTTGTTGCCTGTGGATCATAAGTCAAACTTCTACTGTGAGGAACTTTTAATTCCTTAAGAATCACAGCCAAATGCTAAGTTGTCCTATTCCAGTAACAATATTCTTTCTTTTTATTCTGTCCTTATATATGGTTCTCTTCAGATTTTAGGAACATATTTTCCCCATAAGATTGACTGAGACACGAGGAAATTCAAAGGATGCCTTTGAAGTAGAATCAGTTTATCTAGTCTCCAGTTTTGGTCCTACCGTATATAATTTGTATGGCCACTCATTTATTATATCCCTGCTGCTTCATTTATAACATGAAAGTATTCTATCTATCTAGACTTTGTTATTCACATGAGAATAAAATATCTGCAGAAAAGCTTTTGTGAATATAAAAGATTTGTTTAAACATTTCCTGTATGGTAAAGTTCACTTTAGAGGTGCGTGTGTGTGTGTGTCTTACACCTGCGTGTCAGAGCCTCTGCATATATAGAGAAGATGTTGGGCATCCTGTCCGTCACTTACACCTGCGTGTCAGAGCCTCTGCATATATAGAGAAGGTGTTGGACATCCTGCTCCGTCATTTTCTACATTATCTATTTGACACAGACTTGTCTTACTAAACCTTAGTCATTCTGTCTCTGCCACCAAACCTCTGAGGTCACTGGTGCACAGCCATGCCTGGGGTTTTATGTAGGTGCTGGAAATTTGAATTCAGGGCCTGGCACTTGTGCAGCAAGCACTCTTAGCTGCTGAGCCGTCTCCTCAGCTCCAGTTTAAGACTTGAGAGTCAACGAGGCTTCAACATCATCTTCCACCTACAAATTACATCTTCCTGATTTTTGTTTTTGTTCTGTGACAGGGTCTCTCTATGTAGTTCATGAACTCCCTAGTGTGGCCTTGACCTAAAGGTGATCATCCTGTGTCTGCCTCCCAAGGGCTAGTGTTACAGGCATGTGGCTACCATACCAGTCTTCATGCCAGTTTTAATTTTTCATCCCCCAGTCCACCCGAGAGCCACTGATCTGTTGTTATTCCCTAGTTAACTTTTTACAGAATGTCATGGATATGTGGAACAATGTGTGAGATTCCTTATTTAAAAAAAAAAGAAAGACAAAACAAGATAGCATAATGCTTTTAGAATTCATCTATATTGTTGCAGATATTGATGCTCTATCTCTTTTATTGATGGATATAGAGGAATTTTAATCCAACAATATGGTTGCCTAGGCAAGGCATCACATATGAGAAGAACTTCTAGGTCTGTGTGATCCAACTGGAATGTAGACACACATCCCTTTAATCCCAAACAATGGCATCTAATCGAGGGGCAGACGAAGTGATGAATCAGAAAGATCTGACAGAATGAGTCACAGATAGGTTATGCCTAACTCTAAGGAGAACAGACAGGAAAGAGGATACTTAAGAGCAAAGATAGTGAGAGAGGGCAAGAGAGAGAGGGCAGGAGGGAGGGAAGGAGGAAGTGAGGAAGGGGGAGAGGGGTGTGAGTATTATGTGTGTATATGACAGTTTTACCAGGACAATTCTACAGGGGCAAGTTGCAGATAGAACAAGCTAGACACAGGTGAAGACAGAATCAGTCGGAGAATGAGAAGGAGCTAGAAGATTAGAATAGATTGCCAGAGTTAGCATGAGGCCAAGCAGAGCCTCATACTCTGAAAAACCAAGAGAAGCTGGACTGAGCCAGTCAGTTTAGAAGATTAGATTGTACAGAGGCTTGAAGCTTCTAGGCCTAGGCCTAGGGGTAGTTAGAACAGAGAAGGAAATGCTCTGGGCCCAGCCTAAGCTGTGTATTTGCACAGCTTGGGTATGGCTCTCATCTGAGGAAATAAAAGTGACATTTACAATGGGCAGTACTGTATTTCATCATATAGATGTACCATTCTTTACCCATTTGAATTGCCTTTAGTGTTTGGTGAATGTATAAATTTGGTATGAATATTTGTATTCAGCTTTGTGTGATTATGTTTTCATTTTTCTAGCTGAGCTGGGTATATTCTTACCTCTGGAGAACATTCTGGAGGATTTATAAGCTGCTGTGCCCTTTTCCATTCCTTTGATTCATATTTTAGAGTTTCAGTAGCTTCATATCCTCAACAGTTGGTATCCATAACTTTCACAGCTAAGTGATTCTTTGTGGGGTTTAATAGTGTCTCACTGTAGTTTTAGTTTGTATTTTTAAATAACCAGTGATAGTAGTTTCTCATATAATTATTTGTGCTATTTCCTTAATTAGATTATGGAAATAATTCTGCTACAAGTAATTCTCATATTTTTCACTCAGATTTGGGCTTTTACTACTATGTTTAAGCATTTTATTTTTTCTTTGTATCTTTCCATATTATTATCATTTTTCTAAACCCTTTTGAGATTAAGTTGTAGTGACAATGATTGATCCTGAGTTCTTCAGTACTTTAGTTTGAACTTCTTAAAAGCAATGAAAATTCATTTATTTAGGTAACTTCCATATGATGATCAAAATTAGGAAGTTAATGTTGATAAAGAACTGTGGTTTGTATATTTTACTTTTAAAAAGTTATGATTTTGTGTTTGTAGGTGTTTTGCCTTTATGTATATCTGTGTACCATGTGCATGCCTGGCACCTGTGGAGTCCAGAAGAGGCACTAGAGCTGGTGGTACAGATGGTTATGAACTGCCATGAGGGTGCTGGGAATTGATCCCACATTCCCTAGAAGAGCAGACAGTGTTATACTTAACCACTGAGCCATTTCTCCATCACCAAATACTATTATTTAATTTTCAGAGCTCTCTTTCAGATATTAAAATTGATTGTCAGTGTTTTTTATTTTTTATTTTTTTTAAACCAGGTTTCCCTGTATAGTCTTGGCTGTTTTGGAACTTGCTTTGTGGACCAGGCTGGCCTTGAGCTCAGAGATCCACCTGCCTCTGCTTCCCAAGTGCTGGGATTAAAGGTGTGCATCACCATCACCTTTGATTGTCAGTGCTCTTTATATTGAAAGAAGAAAGGCCAGTTGGCTAAGTATTAGTTGTTAACATTTGTGTGTCATGTTTCTTTGGCTTCCTGTGATTCTGAACAGACAATGGGGCCAGCATTACCTGCTACTCTTTATGTGTCATTTCCCCTGAGCCTCCTGTGGCTCTGAGCCACTTTTCCATCTCTTATGGCATTTACATTTTTGTTTTTGCAGGAATGCTGTTTAGGGTCTCTTGTTCCCTTTTCAAAGATGTCATGCTTTCTTGGATGTTTTAGGACTTGTTCTGAATGGCCAATTACTAGAACTGAGTCTGTTGCTAGAAGCCAGTAAGGATAAAACCAGGAGATCAAGTGGGTTGTGGGGCAGCATAGAGAGTTATGGAATCTTCCAAGGTGGTTGACTGGAAAAGTCAGCATCAGTGATTTGTTGAATATGATTGTGACTGAAAACAAGGCCAAGTATAGAAAGCCAGACCTTTGATCCTGTATGGAATGGAATTGCCTTCCATGGACAGAGCTTGTCAATGTTTTAATACAGGTGACTTTGCTTCTCTCACTCTTTCTCTCCCTCCCTCCCTCCTTCCTTCCCTCCCTACATCCTTCCATTCTTTCCTCCCACTTTTCCCTAAAAGATGTCTTATTCTACCCCTGGCTGGCCTGGCCTGGAACTCATAATGTATCTCAAGGCAATGAACTTCTGGCAGTCCTCTTGCCTCAGCTTCTAGAGTGCTGGGATAACAGACATGCTTCTCCATACTTGTATGGACTCCATACTTGTATGGAACTTTTCAGTTTGATGGCAAGACTTAACATGAGAACAGTGTATCAGATGGGAAATTCAGGAGACATCTACTGATTTTTCTTAGAATATCTGATTGCCTGCATACAGCTTAGGTTTATGTTTTAATAGAGTCCACACTTTCTCCTTTTCTTCCTTTCCTCTCTTCCCTTCTTTCTTCCTTTCTGACAGGTCTGTTTGGGCAGCCTAAGCTTCTCTCCATCTTCTGATGATCCTGTGGAATTGTAAGTGCTGGTCACAGGTGCATGCCCTCTTGTTTTGGTTCCTTATTTCATTTATTTATTTATTTATTTATTTATTTATTTATTTATTTATTTACCTTGTCTTTATTACTCATGTTTCTCTATCTTGATCTGTGTATACAGACAGTAAATATTCTTATCATATGTATATAAAAACTGCTTTTAAAAATACCCTTTTAAATACAATAGTTTATCATTGAAAACCCAGCTGATTATTTAGGAAATAAGTCTTTCTTCCTTATTTGTTCTAATTAAAGTTTTTGGTAAATTAGAGACTTGACCGTAATGTGACTTTATAGAACAATTCTTTTTTTTTGGTTTTTTTCGAGACAGGGTTTCTCTGTGTAGCCCTGGCTGTCCTGGAACTCACTCTGTAGACCAGGCTGGCCTCGAACTCAGAAATCCGCCTGCCTCTGCCTCCCCAAGTGCTGGGATTAAAGGCGTGCGCCACCACCACCCGGCTTCTTTAGTTCTTCATATATTTTGATATTACTTTTTTGTCA